CTATCTTTGCTTCACTCGGCTCTGCATCTGCGTCCTTAAGCAACCTAACCACCCATTGGTGACAAGATCTAACTTAGAGATGTCTTTCCCCTTGGAGTCGACATTGGTGGTGAAATGGAGGCTGGAAAAATGAGAAGAGCCATAGAGAGATGGTTGGGATGAAGGTGGTGAAGGGGTAGAGGAGGGTTTCAGTTAAGTTGGAACTGAGGGCATCCTTAGACCTGAAGCTGTAAAGGTACAGTTCTGAACAATACCTGGCTGAGGGGAGGGTGAGGAGCTGTACCAATAGGGTGGAGCAGGAGTACATGAAGAGGAAACTGGTGGACAGGTAAGCATCTTCAGGTTCAATTTAGACCTAGGCTTAAGTTCTTGTCTAAAATTTCAAAATTTTCTTCTTGGAGTATACAGCAAATCCTTTAACAATAAAGAATTACCTCACTCAGTTAGTGTTGTCACTTTGATTCCCAAACTACTTAAAAAAACAACAACAAATATATAATGGCTATAAGATGTTTGTATGTCTTTTAGCTAAATACTAAATACTAAAATGCTCTAAACATCATAATGCTTGCATCTGAATGGATCAGGCAACAATCAAATTAAATTTACATCAGACTTACTTGGCTATAGAGATCTTATTTCTTATTATCAACTTATTCTTCTCTTAAATCATCAGAGGGTCTTTAAAACCATTAAACCATTAGTCCCTTTTTTAACTTTTTCATTCAAGCCTTTAAGTTATTCTATACAGATAATAGCATGCTTTCACCATGTGTTTTTATACCACCAGTGTTGTAAAAATAAAGACTGTCAGATGCCCTATTTTTTAAAAGAAGTCGCATAAAAATATGATCTTATACAATTAATATTAATATTTACAGATATTACCATTTACAATATGAAGTGGTTAAAAGCAAATACATTATGCAAGCATCTAATTCCAGACTGTTTGGATCTATGATATCAGAAACGGTGCTATTATTTACATGGAACAGAGGCGTCAATGACCCATCTTGAAGGTGAAAAAAGAACCACACCTTAATCCGATGTAGGCCTCACCTGCCCCGTTCATGATCCAACAAAAAGTTAGATATTTTGCAAAGATAGCATCAAAACAATCCCCTAGACTTAGGAAAATTATCTATTTTATGATTTATGGAGACAAAGGAGGTTATTTTAAGAGACATTGGATAAACATGGCTAAAAAACGTTTTAATTAAGAAAAAAATGAAATCGGTGTACATTTTTTTCTGAAAGACACTTATCTGAATCAAATCTCTTTTCCATAAAGCTATATAATTTAAAGAAAACTTAATTCAAAGAAAATATAATCAAATAAAACATTAAATGGTTTAACTGTTATGACAGCAAGTAAAAGGGTGAAAGATAGGGTGGGTCGTCATGGTTAATGCATCTGGACGGAACAAAAGTAGGTCAGTCTTTATCAGACTATGACTGGTCTGAGCACCCTGGTATCTCACCTGCAGATAAAATTTAGTACTTTCAAAGCAAACAAAAAGCTAATTTGGAGGATTTGTAGATAACGTGAAGGGTTTAGTGGTCCTCTCAGTTTTCAGATACATATTTTTTAAAAACATACTACCTGTGGAGCAATAAGGGATGGAAAATACCCACCATTATTGAATACTTGACCAAAAATCCTTATCGGCTTTGGATGTCCTTGAAACACCACAAAAATTTTTTCAAAACCCCAATCTGCACATGAGTGTATTAACATCTGCTTCAAAGTGGCTATAATGTAAAGCAATTTAGGTAATTATGTATGGATAAGAAAATACAAGTAAAGTCCAGTTTATTTAGCATAGATGAGATTGGAGAATCTGTTCAAAGCAGAACTGTGAATCATGCACCCTATAAATCTTGTTTTCTCCTCACCAGCAGTCATGTGGGAGAAACTACAAAGATGATGAAGTAAGTTTAATCCTAAAAAAGTTTTTGATTAAAAAAACCCCAGCAAAAACAGTGGACATCATCCAGAACATTATATAACAAGGATGACATGTGGTGGTGTCTTTTCTAAGGTTGAATGTTGCAGGAAAATGGGTGCAGCTCAATATAATTCCACTCAAAACAAATGCTAGAGGCAAAAAAAGACTTGAAACTGACTGGAGGTTCACCCTATTGCAGGAACTTGCCACTAAATATACATGAATTACAAGGAATGGTTTAGTTTTGTCAGATAGGTCCAGTACAAAAAATTAATTGGCAATCAATGAAAAGACATATTTTTATTAACATAAAAAATCAGCAAAGAATAGTAGTTCATAGATGCTGGTGGATTATAGTAAAAGTGATTTAACAAATTGCTGACCCAGGGAGACTGAATACCAATATGTATAATATTTGTTCAGATTTTTTCTTAAAAAGATTTGTGAAGAACATGAAAGATTTTTCTTCCACTTAACACTTAGATCATTACTTTGTGTTTGTCTATCAAATATCGTTAAGATACATCATAGTTAGATTTTTTAATTATAGAAGTATAAATAAAGCTTGAAAGACTATGAGAGCTTTTTCATTCATAAAAAAAGAAGCTCATCTGCTAAGAAATTTCAAACCTTTGTTTTTACAGATATTACCGAAACATGGCTGAGCAAACGCTATTTCACCAAATTAAATGAATAAAGATAATTAACTTTTGTTTCTCCTTCCTTTTCCACATTGATGTTTTTAGGTTCTAAGTTTAATGTCAAAAACTTTTACATTTTTACTATATGGTGCTTTCACAACCCAGTGACAAATAAGTAACTGCATCCTTGTTTATGTCCCCTGGACAGCCTCATTATATCCCCCTTATTATGCTCCCCACATGTCATTTGTGTTTGTCTTTTGTTAATATGCTGGGTATGGCATGGCTGACCTGTGTTTGCCAAAAGGTTTCTTTTTTATAATGTGTTACCTAGTAAAGTGCAATTTTCTTTAAAGGTCACCTCCCATCAGTATACTTAGTCAAAGACGAAATGGTTGCTTAATTATGGTTTAATTAGTTGCTCTAGGTTCATATGTTATTGTTCAAAGCACAGACATAAAAAGAAAAACTCTTAGTTTCCAGTTTCAAATTCTATCTGCAGCTTTCTCTGCAGAGTTGGATGATTTTCTCCCCTATTGTTATTTCCCTTTTTGCAATAAAAAAAAATAACATCATCAGCAAATACAGCGATATACAATTCTAGAATTTCAGTGTGTAGGACCGTCTCTGGGTTTCTGCTCTGCTGCTACTTTAAGTTGCGCTTCCTGATTGCTTCAAGGCCAGAGGCTGAACTTTAGGTGAGTGCATGGATGCTCATGTTTGTCCATGAGGGGTGTTGGGATTTTTTTTTTTTTTTTAGTGTCACAGTCGTGGAGACAGCATATATAAACAAGGCAGAGTTCCTCTAACAGCCCTGCGCTTTCCTGCAGCCAGAAAGCATCCAGCACCATGGACACAAGGAGATGGATGCTGCCTCTCTGCTTCTTCTTAGCTTTGGGTAAAGGCAAATTCATGCATTACTTTTATCTTATATATATAGAGATTTTTTTTTTATTTAATTTTTTCAATCTTGGGTGATTTTTCATGTTCACAGATCTAAAATGGGAGTTAAAAATAAACTATTTCATAGAAATGAAGCAATTTCCTTATTGGGGTTTTGTTGTTAAAATATATTGGAAGCTTTAAACTGAATTCTAACGCTGTGTCTGCAGAAGATGGATTAGTCCTGCATTTAGTGCATGACTCATTTTTACTGTTTCCCCCCTAACTGAGTATTGACTTGCAGCTTTTAGGGCGGGTGAATCTATGGGAACACCTGAGTCTCAGAAATGTGAGTACCTGAATGTTGGCAGGATTAACCTCTGTACTTATGTATTAATTTAATTGACTAAAGTTAAACCAAAGACAGTTGTGTTTGATCTGTCTTTAAATAGTCCTAAAGTAACCACTGACAATCCTTCCTCGCCAACTCTGATTAGATATTTGCAAGACATATGGCAGCGGAGTCATCCAGGCTTTCAAAGGTTCCCTTTTCTACGTGCGCTCAAACTGTCCGTTCACCTTCACCCGCTTCACCCACAAACGAGTCAAGTGTGACATCACCATACGGCGAGGACCGAATGGTTTGGTGAACCTAATCGAGATTATCATCAACAAGGTCAAGACCGTGGTGCAGAATGGAACCATCCTGGTAGAGAAGAAAAGGTTTGACTCCATGTTCTATACTCATTTTGTTTTGCAGTTGTGAACCTTAGGGTAAAGTCTAATCAAGCTTTCCATATAACCTACTAGGTTTCTGTTTAAAAACTACAGTCTCCTTCATATTTATCAGTGCCCCTGGTGAAAACATGCTAAAATAACACCTGTAATATTTTCCTGTAAAGCAATTCACACTATCGGTCATTGATGGAAATTTCATGACACTGAAGGTTGCTTTCAAACACCTTTGGTAAAACTGTCCATTTTAGTGTTAGAAAGCAGTTCCGGCTGCACATTAGCATGGTTTGTCCAGAGTACAGTGTTTCATTTCCAAAGAGATAAAACAGAAATCTCTTGTCCCTTTCCATAACTTTTTGTTTATACTTTTCTGTTCCCTATATTTGTATTTTTATTGTTTCTAAAGTGACCTTCAGTATGTAGAAAGGCACAGTTAAATAAAATGTATAATTAATAGTATTATATAATTTATACCTTAACACCAGAAGATCATGACATCCTGACTAATCCCCAAACTCAAGAGTTTATTGTTCTGACTTTAGGGGCTGCAGTGGGTAGCGATGTTGCTTTACAGCAAAAAGATTTCAGGTTTGATTCCTGGCCCGGGTTTTTTGATGACCTGTCCAGGGTGTACTCCGCCTCCTGCTCATTGACAGCTGGAGATAGGCACCAACACCCCTTGCGATCATAGAATAGATAAGGCCAGGCCAAATAAAAAAAAAAAAAAGAAACATAAATATCAGCAGGGCCTAAAGTCAGGTTTAAGACAAACTGATCTTTTGATGCATCTATTTTGAAAAGCAGTTTATATCTGCCTCCTCTATGTAAAATGTTTTATTGTCTTCCTTCTTTGCAGAGTAGCTAGATGAATGAAACAATCAAACAACTATTTTATTAGCTTAAGTGAGCTGGTGATTACCAGTTATTTATAACCTCTTTTGTTTAAGCAAAGTTGTCTCTAAACTGACCCCTCTTATATTCTTTGATTCTTTTATTTACAGGGTTTCCCTTCCATATGACCACACCTACCAGCACATATATCAATACGGCATCTACACCAGACTGAGGAGCTCATTACTCCCTCTCTCAGTTACCTGGAACACAGTAGCAGGAGGACTTGACAGTGTTTGGGTGAGCACATGATAAAGTTAGACAAATACTATAAACTGCCACCAGCTGGTTTGTTAAACGTCGAGCACACACTATCATAACTTATTTTTTACAAAAACCGCATTTAAATACTGATATTGCTAATTCTGTTGCAAGGTGTGTCCCTTCTTAGCTGAAATAACATGCAGCGCTCATCTGCTCGATCTTAACTTATTGTTGGGGGGGAATTCAGACTGTTTTCTTTACAATGTAGGTGCAGTTCATTGAGTTCTATCAGTATTCATTCAGCTCCCATAAGTCTCCCTGTTGCAAAACCTCAGTTGGTCTTTGGTCAGAACTTTGGCTGGGCCATTAAAGCACCTTAGGTATTTTCTTTGAGGGTCATCCAGTTGTAAATCTACTTTGGGCTAATTTGGGTCATCTCAGTGATCTCAAGGTGTTTAGATGATGTGAGCCTTCCCTCTTTGCGCCTGAGAGTTGCATCAGATTTCCTCAATATGTCTGTTAGAAATCTGGTTCATACACTGCTTGTCCCTAGACATTTTTAGTGGTTATTTATGCTTGGCCTATATGTATCTCCAAACTTGTCAAATTTAAGCCAAGCATAGTTGTTAAAATTCGGCCTTTGTTAGCCCTTTAGAACAACCCAAACCATTTTTCAAAGATTCGGAAATCCATATATATATGGAGGTCAACTGCACCGTTTCATGGTGCTTACACAGAATGCGAGATGTTCTCATGTTTATGTTAAAAATAAATGTAAAGGAGAGCTGAATTTGGAAAGCTGGTGTTAAAATATTTTTGGTGAAAAATAATAAAACTTTACATACCATCTATTTTAGTTTAAGTTCATTTTCAGGCTTTTTTTCTTCAATTGAGCTTTTGTAAACGGAACAAACGTCTTAAGGTGGCAGGTTTTTGAGATGTAACCATTTTTTAACTGTTGCAGTTAGAGGGTATTAAAAACAAAATGAGTTTGCTTATCTTTGGAAGATTAACTGCAATATAAGTAGTTTATATGGGACTGCATACACTGCCTTTTCTACTTATTAATGTTTGTGTTTTGTGCTTATATTTTTACTATTAATCTGAGTTTTAATTCGGTTTTAGGACAAATTAACACCTAAAACATAACATGTAACATTTACTGTATGTCTTTCACACAGCCACTAATGTCTCTTTGTGATTTACTATGAAGGTTGAACTAGAGCAAAAGCTGAGCTCTGACTTGAGTGGACTTTGTGCAATACATAAGACAGGTATGGCATCACAAAGGATATTATTGTATTTTTTGTTTATGTTAAAAAAAAAGATAAACTAAAAAGGATTGTATTTTAGTTGCCACATTGAAACTATAATCTAGAGCTATGATGATCTCTCCATTTACTTTATTAGGTTTATTAAGTAAATCACCATACAGCAGTTATTGCAGAATTACTAACTGTACATAATATTTATAAAGCTGCTATATGATTATCAAACAGCTATAAGTTCAAAATTGCACTGAATGGATAATTGGGATTTGATTGTTTTATTTTATTGCAAATACTCCAGGATTGTTCCATTTGCCTTTTTGTTACGTCCAGTATATCAAGCCAAGTCTTGAAACTTTGATAAATTCATTTATGATTCCAAAAACGTAATTGACTAAAAAATGTTGGAAAGCATCTGCATGATATTTATTTGATAATGGAAACTATTTTAAAATACATTTTCTGATTTTTGTGTCAGAGAAACTTATTGTTTGATCTAGTATTGAATCTAAAACATGTGAATACATGGATTATGTTGAGTTGCCAAGTTTGAATTTCAAAAAGTTGTCTGGATAAGCAATGTTATCAGCGGATTCATGAATATTCATTCTTATGTAGTTTCCATTGATCCGTTAATTTCTTTTACATTAAACCCAGTTTTACTGAACTGTAATAAGACAAACCTATAACAGACATTATTTTTCATTTTTACTTACTGTCCTAAGAATCTGTCCTACATTTTTATAGCAGGCGATATTCAGCAGCTGGTGAGAAATTGTCTGATTTCTGACAACACCTGCTACATTCAGGACCTCAACCCGCGTCCCAACTTGGTAAATTCCACCTATTTTCAATTTAAGTAAATGTAAAGCAACCCTCTTACAGTGTTAAAGTTTTTGTTTTTTGTTAACAGCCTGACATTTAGTTTCCTTTTAAGTGTAAAACTTGTTTTATCATTTAAATTGCAAACAGGTCTAACAGAGCTAGTCTCAAACAGGGAACAGGCTGATTTGTGTCCTCTGGTCACATTTGCAGCTGTGCAGAGACTTCTTCTCACACACGCTCGACTGTCTAAATTTCCAAACACCCAACTACATCGCCCTCTGTGATGAAAACCTTTACACCTTTGAAGGCGACAGCGACATTGCATGTGCTTTCTTCAAAGAGATTGCACTGCTGTGTGGAAAAAGGAGCCATATTTGGGACAAGTGGAGGACCATAGCCAACTGTGGTAGGGGATTCCTTCATGTAGCTGAAAGGAGGTACCCTGTTCCCAAATGTTCTCAAACAAACTTGTGCTTTGTGCTTTGATGTGCGCTTGCAGCTCCACAAACGTGTCCAGGTGACCTGGTTTACATCGAGGAGGGTTCTCCTTTTGTGCCCAGCTGCTCAAACCAGGACCCCAGATTCACCACCCTGGAGACCACCAGCTCCTGTGTCTGTCCTGCAGGTGAGAACCAGCATTTTCCACTTTTGTTTTCACATTGTTTTGTTGCACAGATCTTTAAAAGATTTAACAACTGCAATTACAGATGCGGTGCTGAATGATCACACTGATGGATACCAATGTGTGGGTGTCCACAACTGTCCGTGTGTATTCAATGATCAGATCTACTCTCCTGGAGGGATACGCACCACCAGATGTCAAACATGGTAAGTGGACCAAAAGGCTCATTCATTACATATGAATATATATGCCAAGAAAAAGAGTGACACAACTTCTAAAGTGCTATTTGTAGGGGAAACGTTTTTTGTTTGTTTTTTTTTTTGTATCTAAAACTCTCCTTTAAAGTTATATATACCTCAACAAACAATTTTAAAATAAACAAAACTATAAATTGGTGCTTCATCAATACCCCCTAATTTTAATACTTTTTTCTGAGGCAGCAGAAAATATTGGTGCAACACAAGTAATTGACACATACAGTTTACCTAAGATAGAATATGTATTTAATGCAAAAGCCTATTTATAAATATGGCGGCCTACAGACATTACTCTATTCATAAAATAATCCTGTGGACATTTAGCTGGGAGTTAGACCCATTCTTCTGAATCTTGATATTTCCTTAGGATTCCTTTCCTCCTTTCTTTGCGTTTATTTTTATGTGGATTTAGAAAGAACATACTGTATTAGGCTCCTTTTTCTAAATATGTGCAAGCTAACTTGCACACAACAGTACAGCTAGCTGCTAGTAGTAAAGAAAAGTAGCAGCTTGTATTTCATTTGAAGTGTATTGATGCAAATACTGACCTAGACAGCCTTTTCAAGTGTAGATGTGGAGTATAGTAAGAAAACGAAAATCCCACTGGTTCTTACAATAATGCTTATTTTTTAAAATATTTTTTCTTGTTTGTTTTTTTGATATTATTTTGATAGATCTTGTATTAAACATCTTCATCTTTCATCAGTCACTGATACGGCTGATGTAAACATTTCCTCCTGACAAGGACGACTAGCTACAGTAAAAAACACCACTTTTTACAGTAAAGAAAACACCACCGAGCCACGATTAAGGAACAAAAAAAAATCTACAAGAAAGAAACCCTGGCCATTTCTCAATTCACAAGAACGCCAGTACGGACTCGTGTCCTCTCCAAGTATGTTCTTGAGAAGAACAGAGGAAAGTCTGGACTTGGAGAGAACGAGAGCACGCAGTATAAATATGGATCAATTGGAACAGCTCGTCTGCAATATGCAGCTCTTGTCTTTATCTAGAGCTGCATCTCACCTCCTGTTATTAATAGCCTCTAGATAATGATAAGTTCTTATTTTTTTCAGTTAGTGGGGGAATTCTAATTAAGTCAGACAAAAAGAGATCAAAAGAAAATTTTGCCTATAAAAAAAAAATCGCCATCAGAGCCAGCTGTACCTCACACCGCTATGCCCAGAGAGGGGGCTGCAGATGGGCTAAGGTTGGCCCTTACTGCAGTTAGCCTCGGAGGTCTGCTGGTTTCCACGGTCCTCTCAACATCGGAACTTTTTTTTAAATGATGCTTTAAATCAGTAAATGGGCCATATAGTGTAGTTTAAAAGTATAATGTTCTCGCCTGAAATTATTTTAAAATGTACTTTAACATAACAACAGTAACAGAAAATAGAACTTTTAACTTAATACACTGAGCTCTGTGAGCGCTCCACTGAAAGCTGTTGCTGCCGCGGTGCATGCTGGGACAGCTGTTAATCTCGAGAACGGACAAATCTGCTCTGATGCATACTCTGTAAATGGGAAGGGGCGAAAACAACATCAGGGGACTTGGTCTGTTCTTGGTCTTGTGTTCTTGTGAATTGGAACAGTACTAGAGCTAGGCTGATGACTTTTCACAAGCACATGAGAACGCGCAAG